GTAATCAAGGATGGAAGTAGAATTGAGACTTCCTTTCACTGTACAATACAGTTTAATTGGGTTCCTTCAGCAGTACACAAAAAAAAACAGCTAGAAATTTTTAAAAAGTATAATGTAATCAAGATTGGAAATAATCAGCAGATGCAACTCTTCTTGATTATCTGGTGTCTACAATTGTCCTACAGTTGTATTTTCCCTAAAGTAAACTGTGTGCATGAAAATAATAACCTCACATGTGGATTTGTACCTCTTTGAGAAGTAGCTTCATTTGGCTTATTGCCTGATCCTATCTTAAAAGTTTTGAAAGCATTTCTTGTGTTGTCTGATGAGCTAATGTTAATTTGTGAACAGGGTGGAGTGAAGAGATGGGAGAGAGATGAGGGAGAGGCAGAGACAGCTGTGCAGTTAAAGTGCTGAAGACCAGCTGTCTGAAGGGCTGACCAGCACAAGCAGGCGTGTGCAGGAATCCAAAAGAGTCGCAGCTGAGTCTGACTTTGTTGATGTGATAGTTTCAAGGGTTGAACTGTGGTTTGAGCAATGGGTCTATGTAGAATGAGAGAACGTTTAAGTGAAACCACTAAACAGGCCACACAATAGGCTGTAGCCCTCTGCAGTTACAGGCAGCGAAACATTACACATGCACCTTATCATGACCTAGATAGATAAAATGTGTGTATAATTAGTGACTCAAACACAGTTTGTAGTGATGATCCTGAAAATAATTAAATGCAAATGACATCTTCAACTACAGTGATGGTTTCAATGAGAAAATACAATACAAATCTTGGTGGTGTGGCCGCTGTCTGTCATCTGACCCCTACACATTTTGCCTGCATGTCTGTAGCATAACCCAGAGGATTAGGCCATAGAGTTAGCTGAGGCTTAGTGTGCGTGTTTGTGTTTTTTTTTGTGCTGTGCTGTGGTCACTGTGCTCCACAGGCCTGCATCCTAACAGGTGCTGAACATGTTGGGCTCTGATGGTGAATGGGCTCTTTGTTGCACAGAATTCACCCTCAGACAGAGCAGGCCCCCTTACACACATACAAACACACACACACACACACACACACACACACACACACACACACACACACACATACCCATCAGCTGAGGGTGCTGTGTTTGTTTTGTCCACAGTGTAACTGTCTATACCTTACTGCTATAGTTTCAACATCTTCATATTTGTTAGCTTTACGGACTATAGTTCTTTCATTAGTAAGGATGGTCAACCGTTTCATTTAACTATAGCAACAACATTAACATTAACAACTTCACTCTTCTATGAAACCTTTCTAGCAGAGTTCCAGGCACGAGCACATTAGTGAGGTCAAACACTGATGTTGCATGATAAGGCCTAGGTCACAGCTGGCATTTTAAAAGTACTGAATGGGGCTGAGGTCAGGCCTCTGTGCAGATCAGTCAAGTTCTTCCACATTAAACTCAGAAAACTGTTGCCATGTTGAAGAAAAGGCCAACACACACAACTAACACAAAGTTGGAAGAACGTTATTGTTAAAAATCACTCTCCATCATTAAGGTCTTGAGCTGAAGACTCGGGACAAATCTGTTGTCCCCGGATTTGGATGGGCTTGCTCTTAGGAGTGGAGCTGCTTCTCAGGAGGCCAATGCCTCTTTAGAATGTCGGTTTCACCAGGGTCCTCCTATTATTTGGCTGTTCAAAGATACTGTATCTTGCCAAAAAAACACATTTAATTCCAACTGATCATTGCACGATCATTCTGGTAGTGTTTCTAGAGTTTAACAAGGGATTTGGCTTAAAAACGTACTTTCCACTTTGCTACCAAAAGTTTCTTTTTGTTCTCAACTTTCAACTAAACTTAAATGGTTTAAGTATTGACACGTTTTCTTTAGGTCACCTTATGTTTATTCACCAAAAATTATATTTGAAAATCACTATGCTGGATAATAAAAACACTTCTTGTGGTGATGTCAGCATGCAATCTAAATAAAAAAAAATGAACACAAAACCACAAAAACATGCAGACGAGAAACACACCTTAAGGAAGCTCGAAGTTTTCTTGTTGAATTCTCTGTTTCTGAATGAATTTCTTTTTCTGAATGACTCTGAGACAAAGGAGGGGTAGTAACTCGCATAGGTATGTGCAGCCAGATCAGAGACTTTGTCTGATTGGCTCAGTATTCCGCAGGCCCAGTCTACTGACTGGTTAAAATTCTTGTGGCTATGACAATGGTTTCTGATTTTGAAGGCGCAGTGGAGAAAGGTTCACATCTAATCTGCAAGTTACTGAATGAGAGAATCTTTTGAGCGTGTTAATTCTTCCACCATGGCTTTATGTTTGAAAAACACATTATATATAACTATAATGTGGAATAACACATTTAAACACACAATTTTAAGCAACACATATAGTTTGATACGACACATATGTGGATCATTCTGTGGGAAGAAAGGAACAGTTAACATTGTAAACTGTGTAACTTTAAGAATAAAAGACAAAAGCAAACAATTATCAGCACATAGTCATTAAAATAAAACGAAAACAATTTACCAAGTAATCTTTGGAGTAGTACTGGGGAATTTAGGATGTCAGAATTAACAAATAGTTTATTTGTCAAACATCTTAAATAATAGGCATGTATTAGTTTACATGGAACACTCATGTGTCACTTCCATTTATACGTTTTGGATCACATTAATGTAACTTCACCGGGAGAGTCCTTACAATGCACCAAGGCTTCCACCCAAAGTCTAACGCCCAGCGACTGTACAAAAAGCCAGAAAGAAGATGGACAGGGCCTGGTGAGTGTCAAGGCCACTGTCCTGGATAAAACCCAGAGCATCCAGGAGTGCATCAGCAAGATGGCACCCAAAGATGAAGTGGCGAGATAATGTCTGAGACAGCAAGAGACAGGGACTGAAGACCAACCAGAAGACGTGCCAAGAAATAGTAATGTCCGGCATGGGATATACCACCAATAGATAACTGAGGCGGCTGACACTGGGAAATTCTACCAGTTGCTGGAAAGGGCTGGCCAATCGGATCACATTGAGGCAGTGGTCATAGCAGCACAAGAACAGGCACTAAGTACCAGATCAGTTGAAACAGGGGTCTACCAAACCAGACAGGCAGTCCCACGCAATACAGGCAGGAACAGCATACACTGAATGGCACAACCAAGTGGTTGGCACTGTGTTCAGGAACATCTGTGCCAAGTATGGACTAGACCTCCCAAGTCCAAATGGAAAATAACAGGGCTAAGATCCTGTGGTACTTCCATATCCAGACAGACAGAAAGGTACTGGCCAATCAATCAGATACCATGGTAGTAGACAAGGAACAGAAGGAGGTAGTGGTGATAGACATAGTGGTGGCAAATGACAGCAACATCAAGAAGGAGTATGAGATGCTTGAGACGTACCAGAGCTTGAAAGAGGAACTAGAAGGTAAAGGCCAAAGTGGTCCCAGTGGTGGTAGGACCACTCAGAGCTGAGTCCTAAACTAGAAGAGTGGCTTCAACAGAGCCGAGGAACAACATCAGAGCTCTCTGTCTAGAAGAGTGCAGTGCTAAGTACAGCTAAGATACTCTGCAGACCCACCAAATCCCAGGCCTCTGGTAGAGGACCTGAGCTTCAGAAAGACACACACAGTGTGGGGATATGAGATGATTTCCCCCAACCAGGAAAACAAACCATGAAAGGTGCAGTTATGTGGCATAATATTTCCCTATTAGAATACTAGGGTGCTTTTGATATGTTGTACTGAGCAATGTAATCACTGACCCACTGGCAGGTCAGTGACCTGTAAGGGCTCACATTGAAAACACAACAATACATAAAGTTTTCTCCAGACATAGTTTGTTTGCATTCACAAATATCTTATATTTATCTTGTGAAGTGTGAAACATTTGGTATGTATCACACTGAACTGGCAGCTGACTGTTATGTTGCACCCTATTAGTCACTATTTTGTTGTGTGACAGCCAGTCAGTTAGTCAGCCTAAGTGACATCATGACACAATAACAGCTCAGTTAGAACTGGTCCATCTGTCACCAATCTCTATTTGTACCATTTGAAATATATATTGATGAGATAATTGTGCACACCCATTCTTTCTGTGTGTGGCTGCACAGAAGGCAAACCAGCTGTCAACTCAATTCTGCCCAGTGGTTTTGGTTTGTGGAGACATGTTTCATTATTCACAGTATGTTTCTCATAATGACAGCTGGCATAGCAAGAGCAACTTCAGCAAAGAGGGTGACATTGAGCAAAAGGAAGATTTCACACATCAGTAATTGTGGTCACTGCATGTTGCCCAGTATGGTTTAGATGTGTCACATGCAGAAAAGAGCAGAACAGTTAATGCACAATTAGTGGCAGTGAAGACTGCCTCAATACATAAAAAGCAATCATCATTCTTCTACTGCACACTACAAATGGGGTTCAATGAAATGAGGCTGCAATTGCACAAGTCAGTGTAATTTTGGAGTAATGGAGACAGAATGCCCACAAGCCTGAAAGAGGAAGCTTTAAAGAAACTTGCTTTCCTTTATCTCTTTGTAGGAAGCACAAATAGGAAGTGAGGATAAAGAGCAAGAAAAGTCATTCAAAACAAAAGTGCTCTACTTTGTTTGTTTCACACTCTAACAATAAGGGAAACAGATACTTTGCAACAACTAATTGTGTTAATTATAATTTCTGCAATTATGTTGTGCAATGTTTCCTTGCACCTTAGAGCAACATTTTACCAGACTAAATGTTGTTAGGCCTACAGCAGCCAAAAGTGGCACTCCTGTATTCAGAAGTGTAGTGAGATTCATAGCAGACCATGTCAAAACAATTTTCAAGCAAAACATGCATTTAAATGTGGATTGGTACAAAAACAAAAAATGACCATATGTTGCATATGAAAATTCATGGAATTTACATGTTAAGCATCTTGCTTTAGTCATGCACTCTACCTGCCTACAGGTACAGTATATTAATGTTTATCCCAATTTTATTTCTTCTTTATTTTAGAGCAAACTTGCCAAAGCTCTGTATGACAACACCGCAGAGTGTGCTGATGAACTGGCCTTCAGAAAAGGAGACATTGTCACAGTGATAAATCAAAATGTGGCTGGTACCAGTGGATGGTGGCTGTGCTCTCTGTATGGACAACAAGGACTCGCCCCTGCAAACAGACTTCAGCTCTTACCTCACACTGGAACCACTGCACACTGCTTAAGCCATGTAACAGAAAACTTCAAATTAACTGATACTAAACCTGATGATGATATGGAAAATATCTACCAAATCCCAAGTGTGCCTCGACTCTCCAGCAGTCCAGCTTATGAACGCATGGACATGATATACAAGGTCCCATCCACTCCTTTATCAGCTTCAATAAGTCCAGTAACATCAGCACTTAAGCACAGCACAGAAGGACCTGAAGGAAACAAGGTACAAAATCTTTGCTTCTACAAATGTGAATCTGTGTTTTTGCTTGAAAAAAGAAAAAGCCTGAAAGTAGGTGTTATTTAGTTTATTGCTCCAAGGTCAAAGTTGGTTCTTTCCTTGGAAAGTGTTCAAGTCAAAGTGTTTGTTATACTGTATGTACAGTAAGGAAACATGTTTCCCTGCACAATGAAATTCTTCCTTTGCTGTCCACAATGAATGCCAAACAATATGGCTGCTCGTGTTGCTGCTCATGGTTAAAGTAGTAGATTGTTGGAGAAATGCAGTGTTGTAGGTAGGTAGGTAGGTAGGTACTTTACTGATCCCTCAATGGGGAAATTTCAGAAGCCCCCGCTGGCAAAAAGAGCTTACAGATGGGGACCAGGGGCCTCTCTCCATGGGGAGCACTAGGGTGTTTATGGGCCTGTAAAAGCCAAGCAGACACAGATTTCAGACACTTTTAAGTGCATACAGTAACCTATGCCACCAGGGACCCCGAAAGACAGCAGTGTGTGTACGGGTGCTTAGGCAGCACAAAGTAGGGAGACACAGTATCAACATATACTGTATATTCACTATTACCTCTCCTGCTCCAAGGGAGCCCTCTTCCTTTCTGCAGTAGCCACCTAATATTCAATGAGCAGCATGGTTTCTATTATAGAGCTATGTTAAGTGGAATAATACATGTATAATGGAGTTCTTTGGCACTCTCAGCAGGCTTCAGGGTAAGCACTGCCCCATTAATGCACTGACACAGAGGTAGTGGTAGATGCTGCTTTGATCAAAGCAAGTGTTACCAGTCAAGCCCAGTATTACAGCCTGTGTCTCGTCTCCAGCCTTCTTTCTTCAGCACAGTATCCAGTCCAAGAGGGGAGGTTTACGATGTCCCGAGCCCAGCAAGACGAGGATCTGCTTACATTGTGAGCTCCTTAATGAGCACACACACACACACACACACACACACGCACACACACACACACACACACACACACACACAACAAAAAGGATTAAAGCACAGACTTTTTATAAAAATACTGCCACTTAAGTGGGTATTAGTATCATATCGTATCATATCTTCTTTGTTGTTGTGATACTGTATTTGCAGGAATCAACAACTCCAAGAATTATGTCACGAAAATATTCACTGATTCCAATTTCGAAGCTGGAGAAGACATTTGACTCTCCAGAGAGTTTAAGTTGTAGCAGTCCAAGAGACTCTTATGTAAGTTTCAGACATCTGGAGGGATTAATGACACAAGGAACCTATGATATGCTAACCTTGAAATGCAGCCTTTGTTTCAACATATTTTACACATTTGCCACCTCTGCTAAGGGTTCAGTATACTTGAAACAAACTAACATGTCTACACAGATTGTGTAGCAAAAGCAGCACCTTAGTAGAACTGCAGCAACTTGAGTCCTCTTTCTATGTCTGTGTTATATGCAATAAGGCACAGTACTGAGTATAAATCACCCATGTTTTGATAGCAGTCAAAGCCCAATACACAATCACTGTAGTTATGTGCATAAAGGTACAAAATATGCTTTAAGCTGCTTTTTTGTGCATATACTGTAGTGTGTAAATCAGGAACTCTTATCTGTTCTGTCAGACATGCATGAGATGGATGATGCCTAACTGGTTCTAAATACAAAATTGTTTAAAACTTTTCCAGTGGTCCACACTTGAATGTAACGTGGAGAACCTGCCATCGCAGCCTCCTCTTGGCAACCTTCCTGTTCTCTCTCCAATCTCTTTGAGACACTTACTTTTCACTATATAGAAATGAATGCCTGCCTCATTCCTGAAGGTCTACTTTTCTGCATAATAACAGCCTTGTTTTTGTGCCTAGATCTATGCAGTACCACCACCCTTGACTCAGGACCCCAGCTATGACATCCCTGTTCCCTCTGCCACAGAAGCCCAACAGAAAATGATCAGTGGATACAGCACCCTTCCCAACCTCCATAAGCCTGAGTGGATCTATAATGTGCCAGTGAGTCCTGAGAGACAAAGTTCACCCCAAGGCTCCCATGACACCATTCCCTCCAAAACAATTTGCAGGCAGCTCTATGACACTCTTCCAGCACGTGCTTGGCCCAGTCAAAGAGGCTGTCCTACTTCATCATTTTATGATGTACCAAAACCCATTTCTCTTGACATCCAAAGTCTGCCCAAAGACCTGCCAATGGCCCCAATTAATGACAAGCCCCCAGCTCAGACACTTACAGAGGAGTCAATATATGATGTTCCATCCCAAGAGGAACCCCTCAACCGGGCTCTCGGTGATCCCCCCGGTGATCATATACCCCTAGAGTGCAGGGGTGACTCAAGTGATGCCCATGAACTCAAAGGGGTGTGCCTGCACCAAATGAGGAACTTTCTGGTCCGTACTTCTTTTCATGATCTTCCAGGAACTGCTGAGTTTTTATTGCAGGAGGACAAAGGTAGAGGTAGAATCCAACATTGTACAGCAGCAGGTAGTCTAAGAATCAGCACAGCCTCCAGCTCTTCCACTAGCTCTTGTGATTCTCTGGCTCTGAGTTCATCCTCTCCGGAGCCACTACGAGAGGTGACACTCAGCCAGGATGAGGCATGCCGCAAACTTCTGGACCTACAGGAGTCCATTTGCAGGGCTGTGCCCCAGCTCATGAAATTTGTCAGTAGTAACTGGAGAAGCAAAGAACATCTGAAGAAACACCTCAATGAGATCAAAGTAGCAGCAGATGGGATTGCATTTTCTCTGACATGCTTCCTAAACTTTGCTTTGGACATTAAAGGTAATGCCCATCGTTTGACAGACACCAACCTTCAGACAAGGCTCTATAAACAGCTGTCCATTATAGAGAATTCAAGTGTGATCCTACAGCAAACAGTGAGTGCTCTGAACACAGCCTGCTGGCCCCTCAGCATACTATGCCAGGAACCGGGGCAGGTCCACACACCTGATCAACTGGAGCGCTTTGTTATGGTGGCACGCACTGTTCCAGACGATATCAAGCGCCTGGTGTCCATCATCAATGCCAATGGCAAACTTCTGTTCAGAGCTCCTCAAAAAGATCCAGACCCTATCAACACCACAAGTCAGCCAGAGACAAAGAAAAGTCCTAACAGGAGCAAACAGGGAGGGGACTTAGTGGAGGATGAAAATGATTATGTAGAGCTACAGGTAAAAGCTAGGTCTTCATCATATAGCTTGCCATAGTAAATGGATGACCTTTTATCTAAGTAAGACCAAAGCCTACTTAATAATGTAACATTTTTGCTTTGACTTTTCCTCAGACTAAGGATGAAATTGAAACGCAGCAAAAGGAAGTGCAAAGAGAACCAAAAGAAAATGTCACACTAGTCTCTAACAAGGCACATGTGAGTATCTGCTACTGTATTAACACAAAGTAGGCCCATATTCTTGCATTACTATGATGAAAACAAAAATCACTTAGAAAATCTGATTTTTACTTTTCCGTCTAAAATGTAGTTACCCAGGATTTAAGAAATTTCTCATAGTCACTTTAGTCTGATGTGTGGCCACCTTCACCTTCTTTGTTTCATTCCCCTGTTGCTCAGGATGATAACAAGCATCATTCCTCTGAGTCGAGCCGTGGTACAGAAAAACATCGACCACCCTCCATGTCAGAGCACTGCCGGCTTTACTTTGGTGCTCTCCAGAAGGCCCTCAGGGGATTTGTGGGCAGCCTTCAAGATGGCCAGCCACCAGAGAAATTCATCTCGCAAAGCAAGTTGGTGATCATGGTGGGCCAGAAACTGTTGGACACCCTGTGCAGGGAGGCCCAGCGTGGAGAATCTAACCATAGCCTCCTGTGTAAGAGCAGCCAACTGTGTGCTCTCTTGAAGCAGCTGGCTGTGGCCACCAAGAAAGCGGCGCTGCACTTCCCTGATAAGCAAGCTCTGCATGAGGCTCAAGAGTTTGCAAAGGAACTGGCCCAAGGGGCACAGCACTTTCGGACATCGCTTGACCTCTAAGAGCACAAATTTGGTTGCACAGCCAGAAGACATTTTTTCATTCATCAGTCATATAGCTATGTCTTTATTAAGTCATTTCATATTCAACTGCTTTGACACCTATAGCCAAATAGTTCAATGTTGTTATAATAATGAATGCAGATGTTGGTTAAAACAATCATGTCATTAGTAAAAGTTGCTGGAATGAAAAGAGAATTTCAAATATGGAGCTGTATTTGTACTTCGATAATGTGGAGCTCTAAAATAAATTGCACATTTATGATACTGTACAATGCAGTTTAAGCATAAAGAATGGAATATAATTTTTTTAAATAAAATTTACAACAATTCTATTTTCTTGAATATTGTTTGCTGTTTGGATGTTTTTATGTATTTTATTTCTAAACTATGTAACAGGTATATGCTCCAGGATAGCAGTTTGATACTTTTTGTGAATAACTATGTAAATGTTCTAAAAGATGTGTTATGCATTTCCATTTTTTTCCACAAAAGACTGGGAATAACACATTGGATTTTTTTATATTAAAATTAACAACAAAAACTGATTATGCTGTCATTAATGTCTGTCTGAAGTGTACACACAAAAAAGTAAACCTGTAAGAAAAGAATATTTAAAGAGCCCATGGCATGTTTTCACTTGTTTTCTGACTTATCTACAATATTACAACAGCGAATGAGGTGTGAGCAGCTGCGGCTGCAGGTAGACAACTGACTTTTATACACGTCTCGCAAACTCATGCTCGTGAGACTTTGTTTTCTAAGAAAATAAACCCTCCTACTGTCCTCAAGTCAAACTGACCCATGGGTGTCATACTGCTTTCCCCCAGTAGGCGCTGCTGTGGGGGAAAACCCTCAAGTCACATGACTGTTTCCCCCTGCTATGGTGCCCTAACCTTTGGGTCACGTGACTGCAGTACCGCTGAACCCTCAGGTTAGGTGACCACTTTCCCCTGCTCTAGCCCTCAGGTTGGGTTCCCCCTCTATTCTCCCACCACCCTCGAGGTCAAACGACCCTGTGGCCATCAAAGGTTTCTTAGGCTCGTGTCAGGGTTTCTCTCTCTCTCCCTCTCGTTTTGTTTTTCTTTGCAGGGAAACGGTTATACTAATAGCCTTTTTACCGCCGATTTTGTCTTTGCTTCCTCATGCTTATGGCATGGCTGTGGGTGTCACCGCCACGCAGGTTCTATAACAGATTCTTTCTAACAACCGCAGGGCATCAGTGTTTTCAGTCCAATCCATTTTGTTGTTGAGTTGGACCCCTAGGTGGACCAGTCAATTTTCCTCACACCACTTCACAAACTCAGTAACAACGCTCCTGTATTCCCACTCCCCCCCCGATACACATCCAACAATGGCGGTGTCATCAGAGAACTTTTATAGGTGACAGTGGTGGGAGTTGTACTTGAAATCCGACGTGTAGAGGGTGAACAGAAAGGGGGAAAGCACGTCCCCTGGGGTGCCCCCGTGCTGCAGACCACCACGTCCAACACACGTCCGACACACAGCCTGACGAACTGAGGTCTGTTTGTGAGGTAGTTAATGGTCCATGCGAACAGGTGTTGGTCCACACCTGCCCCCTCCAACTTCCCCCTCAGCAGTGA